CAAATGCAAGCCATAAACAGCTTTCGAGAGGCTGCTCAAGAGAAAGCTGCTTAACAGAAGCTTATTAGGAGCATCTTCTCTTGTGCCACAGTGCATTTACGCCACCTGCCCCACCATCGTTTAGGTTTAGATTTTAGGTTTTACGTTAGATTTATTGGAATACAATAGAATTTATTAAGTGGGATCGGTATCCACTGATTCACTTATGCATGGTCTAAAAATATATATTTTTTTAAATTCCTGGAAATATCATTATTTCCAAAGAGGATGTTATCAGAAGTGGCCACTAGAGGGAGCCAGAGACGATGCTAGGTACAGTATAGTTTATTACTCCACATTTTTCAGCATCTGTGGCGGTCTTGGTCCCGATCCCTCACAGATATGGGGTATGTGTGTGTGTCTTACTCTAGATTCTGATTAATGTTATCAGAAGTGGCCACTAGAGGGAGCTAGAGACGATGCTAGGTATAGTGTTTATTACTCCACATTTTTCAGCATCCGTGGCGGTCTTGGCCCCGATCCCTCGCAGACAAGGGGTGTGTGTCCTACTGTAGATTCTGATTGTCTTTTAATTTTATTACCAATGCTTCTATTCTATTCTATTGTTTGGATTTCCTTTTGATGGTAAAATTGCCCACTGTAGTACCTGGCAGTAATTGGGTAGCATACAAGCATACTAACTAACTAAATAAATAACTAAAGGGGCTTGGAAGGGACCCACCTCCGTCATCCAGCCCTATCAAATGGGCCCCTCCCCATGTCTGCTTTTCAATTTGAATCCAGACACACAAATGCATACCAACACTTTTGGAGATCAAGGCTCACACCTCTCCCCTAAAAATCTAGCCTTCCCCTGGTGAAGTTCCTTCTTTATCAGAACAGCCTAATTTTATTCTCCGAAATAAAGTAGGGCCGTGATATCTGTGGGGGGGAGGTTGGTTCCAAGGCTCCCTCACCCCGTGGATGCTGGAGACCGCAGATAACAGCTAACCCCATCGTAGCCAGCTGTTTTGGCAATTACACCATGGAAATATGTATTTCTAGGTTTTTAAAATTTTTATGTTTTTCATAGTTTCAGACTGCGGAGAAGTGAAACTGTGGATACCGATCCCGCGGATACAGGGATCCTATGGCAACTCCCGAAATACTAGCCATGTCTCGCTTTTCTTCGCCTGGTTCTCTACAAACGGAGACCTCTTTTCGGATGGACGGCTGGCCCATCTGCGTTTCTAAGACTTCCCCCCAAACCCCCAGGCTCCTTACCGACGGATCCCGAAGCGGCGATGATGGCCGCCTCCGAGAGGACCTCCACGATTCCGGCCCGCACGGTGGCGGCGCTCTTGCTGTTGGCGTCCAGGTGGCTGAGTAGCTGCTGGATCACCAGGTGGGAATGCTGGGGCTGGAAGCAGAGAGGAGAGGAGAGGAAGGGGAAGCCCGGGGAGAGGAGAACAACGCTGGTCCGAGGACCGTACGAGGTCGAGGGGAGATGCTATGGACCCCGGAGTCCCCAGCTGCCGAGACTTCCCCGGTTCCATCAAAGCACCAGCAAAACCTGCCCACTTCCCAAATCGGCAAAAGCTGCACCCCAAAAGTTACTCATTAGCAGGAAGAGAAGCCAACTCACGCAATAGGTTACTACGGTTTTAAGGGGACGGGGGGAGTCACAACGAAAACAGAAAAGGTGTCTTGTGTAATTTGCTCTCCAGTCACGTCCCACGGATGGTGACCCCATGAATGAACAACCTCCAACCGGTCCTGCCCTCCACAGTACGGCCCAGCTCTTGCAAACGCATATTGTGGCTTCCTTGAGGGAGTCAATCCATCCCGTCCGTTGGTCTTCCTCTTTCCCTCCTTTCCGTACCGCTTTTTTTTAGCCAAGGCGTCTTGTTAAAGGCTAAGACATTTCATTCAGCATAAGCTTTCGTGGCGAGTCTGTCCCGTGGAACAGTGTTTAGTCTTCAAGGGGCCCAAAGACGTCCTGGTGGGGTTTACAGCCCACCACGAATCCCTTGATGCGTTCTCACATTTTTTCCCCACAACCCCTCTTGTTTTTGCCTTAAGAGCTAGAAACTTGTGAAATTTACAAAGGAAAGAAACAGGGCCGGGGGAGAGGAAGCCGCGGTTTCCAAATCCGAGCCTGCGGTCCAGGTGTCTGAGAGATGTAGTTCAAGGAGACTGCAGACACATAGGTCGGAGAGTCTCTGAGGCAAACGTTCTGCAGGTTGTTTAAAATTGCAGCCCCTATACTGATTTCTGCATTTTTTTAAAAAAAATATTCTCATCCTGCAGTAACAAGATTCAAAGGGTGGCGGTTTCCAACGGTTCCTTCCTTATTCCTTAAATTCTCCACCCCAAAGAAATTTCCTGTTAGGGCTGCTTTTATCTCCACAGGGTGTAAGACCAAACAAACACAGCATGTCCGTAGGGGAGTCTGTCTGCGCTGCACGCCTGTCCATCGGGGCTGGGTTCCCTCCCCCAGACTCACCCTGAGGGGCAACGGGCAGCTCCTTCTCTGCTCTCCTGCCCGAGACGTGGCCCAGGAGTGGCCGACTGCCCTAAGCACAAGTGATATGGGGGAAATAAAGACCCAGTTCCCAACAAGGAAGATGCAAGAGGGCCCACATGCTTCCCCCCCACACACACAGGGAAGCTGGGCCCTCTCACCAAACAGCCCCGGGATCAACCGGCGTAGAACTGGGTTCCATAAATGTTCTGTACTGTTCTTCTGCATCATATCCAACTTCAGGCAACTCTATGGATTCATGAGATCACAAAATCCTAGAACGAGGAGGCAGTGGAAGACAGGAGGGCCTGGCGTGCTCTGGCCCATGATGGGGTCACGAAGAGTCGGACGCGACTTAACGACTAAACAACAACAACAAACAATGGATTCATGCCCGCCAAAATGTCCTATCCTTCAAAGTGCTGTTCAGGTCTTCCAAACGCAAGGCTGGGCTTCATTGATTGAAACAACCCATCTATAGTCCTGGGTCCAGTTCTGGAGACCTCATTTCAACAAGGATGCTGACCAATTGGAAGAAGTTCAGAGGAGGATCAGGGGACTGGAAAACCAAGCCCTTGGAGGAGGAAAGACTGGAAGAGCTGGGCCTGTTGAGCCTTGAGAAAAGAAGAGGGAAGGGAGATCGGACAGCGCTTTTCCAAGACTCAAAAAGCTGTCGTCCAGAGGAAGGGCAGGATCTGTTCTCCATCTCAGACTGCAGGACACGCAACCACGGGCTCAAATCAGAGGAAGCCAGATTTCAACTGAAGGTCAGGAAAAACTTCCTAGCTGTTAGAGCAGTACGACGGTGGAAGCCATGATCTCAGGAGAGTTAGAGCAGTACGACGATGGAATCCATGATCTCAGGAGGAGATGGTGAGCGCTACAACACTGTGGAGGCCTTCAAGAGACATTTAGACCACCCTCCATCACACCTCCTTTGATCTGGATTCCTGCCTTGCGCAGGGGGTTGGACTGGATGGCCTCAGAGGTGACCCTTTTTCCAACTCCATCATTCTAGGATTCTGTGATCTCATCTTAGATCGGCCTCTCTTCCTCCTGCCTTCCACTCTTCCCGGCAGTTCTGTCCTTTTCCTGGGAGTCTGACGATACGTCCAAAATTGTGACAGACTTTTCGGTCCTCGGTTAAATCACGCATGTAGTACCGACACATAAAGTTTCTTGACCGGCATGCCGGCAGGGAGTGGAGCTGCGAAGCCTTGAGATCTTCCCAAAGTGTAGGATATTTAGGGGATTCCAGGATCTGTGGTCCAAACCCAGAGATCTTCCATGCTCGGGTTTTTTTCAAACGTACAGTGTCCCCGTCAGCAGGAGTGCCCAAATCCCACAAGAACCGACGACACCGAGGACAATATAAAACCGGACAACTCCCCACCCCTCCGTTTTTCTTACCTGGATCGAGTACATGATGATCTTGAAGCAGCGGATGGCAAATATTTTGGGCTCCCACAAGGAGTGGTTGTCGAGATGGCTTGTGGGAAAGAAGAGGAGAGACAAACAGGGAGTGTATTTAAGCAGGCGGGCCCTCGTGCGCAGAAAGGACACCGAGAGACGCAGGTCGGCTAAGACTTACATGAGGACCGGCTTGATGGCGTTTTTGATGTTGCCGTAGGCCGCTCGGCCCAAGAGTTCCCGCAGGCATCGCTCGGCCAGCTCGGCTGGATTTTCTTTCTCCTTCTCGGTTGTTTGCAAGGGAGATGGAGAACGGCTAGAGGAGGGAGAGAGGGAAACGGAAGAGAAGAGAGGGCTGTCTTTCAAACCTTGGCCCAAACAGCAGTTTTATTGGCCGGCCACAGCCTGACCTCCTGCCTTGGTTTTGTGGCAAAGCTGTTCCAGAGGGCGGCCGGATTCCTTCCCCTCTGCCCCAGGAGACAAGCTTGCTCTTAGAGAGGTTTTAATACAGGGAATGTGTTCTGAGTAAACTCATCTGGATGGAGCTCCTTGAGGGAACGAGGCAAGATCAGACCAGGGACTCACACAGAGACCCAACAAGCACACTCCTCCGGGTTAAAGCCACTAGGCCTGGCCATCGGCAGCAATTCATGAACGCTAAGGAAGGAGCAACTTCCCCATCATCCCCAGGACCCAGCGGAAAGGTCTCAGAGAGAGACAGACAAAAGCAGAACGGCAACGAAATGATAAATGATCTGTATCAAGGATCGATACAGAAAAGGATTGTTCGGGCTCAAATCAATAAAGAAAGCTGCTGTCAAACAACGAGTCTCCCATGCCCAGCCTTTTCTACTCCAACCAGCAGTAGCTTCTCAAGGTTGGGGGGGTGGGTTTGCCCCACATTCTTCTTGAAGATGCTAAGGAATGGAATTTTTCCATGCAAAACAAGTGTCTTGTCTGCATTACAGTCCCACGAACCACCTTAAAGAGGAGACCCTAATGGTTATTCAACAGGCGTAGTTTTGTGGGGGGACCAAAATGCACTTGGACATCATCTGGAGATCCGTGATCTAGAGGAGGATGGGAATAAGACACCACCCACAGGCCACACACATAACACCCCCCCCAATCCCCTGTATTCCAGTTACCAAATGGGTGGCAAGAAAAAAACCTATTTTTCCTCTTAAAACAAGATGCAGGCTCCTTGCCTACCCTGTTTCATGACTGGAACTGCCCGTCCAGAAACAAGGTGTTGCTTGAAAATAGGGTGCACAGAGAGCACATCCCTTGTTTTAAAAGGAAGCCATGAGGAGAAAAGGTTACGGTCTTTACAGCAACATGTTCAGCAGCAGAAAAGGGGGATCCGGTGGGGCTACTCCTCCCCGATCCTCTGGCATCCTTAATTCTGTACAAAGTAGGAACAAGTGTCAGAGCTGTAGATAGCAAAACAAGCGGCTTTTTGGATTCCAACTCCCAGAATTCTCCATTCTGGAAGTTCCACCGGACAGACACCTCAGTTTCACTCACCTGGCGAAAGGCCTAGCACAACAGTTTGAGGACCTAGCTTCCTGTTAAAACAGGAAGTCACCCATGCCTAACAAATACCTGAATTTCATTCAGCTAGAGAAAGGCCTAGCTTCCTGTTGGAACGGTATGGATCTGTTAGGTGGAATTCCAAGGATGAAGAATCCTGGGAATTAGAGCCTAAAAAATTCTGGATGACACACCTTGACTTTCCTGCCATGGTGGTTAAGCTTGGAACACGCGAGGTGGTGCCATTTACAAGGAAGGACCAAGGGATGAGGGCCTGAGCATTCAATGACCCCCTCATTGGACTGTTTTTGGGGTTTCCTTCTGGCCTAAGAAGGAGCAATTGGGAGGCAGTGTCTGTTTTTGGCTTCAGGCAAGCTTTCCCCCCCAGTGACCGGAGGCTTGAGCGTGATGTTTTTAGATGCATCGTTAAGCATCGCCACTGTGACTGTGGTTTTTACTATTGTTCAACTTCCCTATTTCTCAGAACAGTATTTGTTTTTTTATTTTAATTTTTTCAAACAAACAAATAAATAAGAAGTTCTGGCACCCGAGATCCCAACCTCCCCCCATATCCCTGTCCCCTAGGGATGGCCCCCCAACGAGGGTCCGGTCACCTTTCCGTTTCCTCCGCGTGCTGCAGATTGAAGAGCAGCGACGGGACGATCTTGTCCATGTGCTGAGGGTCCCAGATGTTGGCCTGTAGCTCATCGTTCACCGTCTTCCGGACCACCCCTTGTAGACCCTTGATGCCTGCCATCCGGATCCTTTAAGAAAGTGTGTGTGGGGGGGAGGGAAGGAGAAAAAAAGTGGCTTTTAAAAGCATAACAAGAGACCATTCCCCCCCCCGCCCCCGTTGCTCAGCTCTACCTGGCTGAAATCTTTGCTTCTAAAACAACTCCAGATGTGCACCTCTGGAAGAAGTACAAACTTTTGCAACCAAAAGGAGAGGGGGGGAAAAGCCCTCAAGAGGAGAGCCAAGATCAACGGGGAACCTTTGGAACGGAATCAAAAGCCCCTTTTGTCTGTTACACAGGAGAAAGAACGTTGTGTGCCGTCGGCCAAGAACAGCAGCAAGTGCCAGCTCCATGAAAGAAGGGTTGGAAAAGTTACTTTCTTGACATACAACCTTTAGGATCCCAGCCAAGGACACTTCTGGCCGGGAGTTTAACGTCCACAACATTTTCTGAACTCTGTGCCCGTGTTTTCACGGAGTACCAACGGTAGCAACAGAGCGGACGGAAGGGTATTCCCTAAAGTTTACAGGGCAGAAGGGAGGAGGCCAGAGTTCAAATCCCCACTTCACCCTGAAACTGGATAGGGTTTGTTCCAGCTCTGTGCCTCTTAAATCTACACGGCCAGGCAGCTCTGGGATGAAATGTGGTGCAGGCGGATAGGAGCCCTCCTGTTCTGTTCTCTTTGGAGAAAAGGAGGAATCAAAATTAAACACTAGGGCTAGTGGAAAGAACAAAACGACCATTGCTAAAAGGAGCCTCGTGGTGCAGGGGTTAAATTGCAGTCCTGCAGCCAAGACTCTGCTCACTCCCTGGGTTGATCTGAATGGACTCAGGTAGCCGGCTCAAGGTTAATTTCACTTTCCATCCTTCCAAGGTCACTAAAATGGGTACCCACCTCACAAGGGGAAGGGGTAACATGTAGCCTGTATAATTAACTCGTAAACCGCCCGGAGAGTGCTTTAAGCACCATAAGGTGGGTTATAAGCAGAACGTGTTACCTCTGAAAAATGTGCCTTAGTTTCTTTTTAATTAATGACATCAGAACGACAAGAACAAAGCCATCCATAAAACATGACCTGCGTAGGTACCGTATGCCAAAGAGGGGCGAACTGGAATCCTACGGCTGCAGATCCAGCCTACAGCTCTTACAGGGAAATGGCTCCTTTGGACTATAATTCCTGGGATCCTCCTGCCAAGGGGATTTGGGGAACTGTAGTGCAGGGTGCTAACCTTTCCAAGCTCAGCCTCTCCCCTCCCGAGCAAAGAGCCATGAGATGATGAACGGAGACAACGAATCCCATCCATTAATGAACAGACAGCAGTGGGAAGCCATGAGCCCACAAACCCGAACTCCTTCTGAAGGAGTTTTAATTGGGTTTAACGGGAGTTTGAGCCTAATGAGGCATTGAGGGGACATCTTGCCACCTAGGAATCTGAGCGGCACCCCCAGAGGTAAAGAACAGCCTCCACAGGAGAGAAGAGCGTTCGTCACTCTTTCCTTCCCCCCCCCTTCCTAAGGGCCCGCTGATGTGTAGCTCTCCTCCTCCACCTCCCCTCCTCTCCCCGGCCTCAGCAACATCTTACACACACGTACACCCCCTTCCCCATCCTCTTTGGCAAAGCTTCGCAGGGCACCCAGCTTCGTTGAGAGGAAGCAATTAAAAGGCACCCTGGGACGGCTAATTGCTGCATGGAGATCAGTCTGAGAACTGGCGGCGGGGGGAGCAGGTGGGGGTGAAGTTGACAGTGGTGGAAAGGCATGTAAGGCAACTACCCTGCACAACTCTCCCTGGGGTGGGGGTGGGGGGTAGGAGAAACCCCAGCTGTTTTTTTAGAAGCATCACAGCCCAAAGAGGCTCAGCCTCTGGTGGTGGGGGTGCCGGGAAGATCCACTTGGACACAGTGGCACCTTTATGCCCCGGGAATCCTTCTGAGAGAAAGAGTTATCCCAACCCATCCATCCATCCAACTTCTCTCTCTAATACCAAGCCACTACCCTGACACACGTGCAAGAACCAAACCCACCGCTGCCCTAAATACTCTAAAACCAACTGCATAAAAAGCCCAGGATGATGAATCTAATCTATCTTTCTTATAAACCTATCTATCTATCTATCTATCTATCTCTTTCTCTCATTTTATATATCTATCTGTCTGTGTCTGTCTGTCTGTCCGTCCATCCATCTCTTTCTCTCATTTTATCTATCTGTCCATCTGTCCGTCTGTCCATTCCTTATCTATCTATCTATCTATCTATCTATCTATCTATCTATCTATCTATCTATCTATCTATCTATCTATCTATCTATCTATCCATCCATCCATCCATCCATCCATCCATCCATCTATCCATCCATCCATCCATCCATCCATCCATCCATCCATCCATCCATCCATCCAACTTCTCTCTCTAGTACCAAGCCACTACCCTGACACACATGAAACATGTGCAAGAACCAAACCCACTGCTGCCCTAAATACTCTAAAACCAACCGCATAAAAAGCCCAGGATTATGATGATGAAACACACACACACCCAAATCAAAGTACATTCTAACTAGCAACAGCGATGAGGGGAGGAGACCCTGAAAAGCCCCATTAAAGAGCAACGTTCTTATTTGCCTTCCGAATCCGAGGAGGGGAGGGCCCGGAGGCACCTGCACGGTGGGGGCCACCACTGAGAAGGCCCCGGTCCCGCTCGCAGCTTTTCTGGCCTTCCCTCGGGGTGGCCACCGGCAGCGTCAAAGCTTGGGCCGTGTGGGCGGCCGGGGTGGTCAACGGCAGGAAGAGGTGCTTCTGAGGAGTCCCAAACCATCGAGGGCTTTGTAGCTCAGTGGGTTGGGTCTCTGTCTGCAGAGCCAGAGGCTGGGAGTTCGATTCCCCCTCTGTGCTTCTGGGGAGAAGAGCCAGCCGGGGGGGCCTTGGGCCAGCTGCACAGTCCCAAGGTTGCCCCATAAATTTCTGAGGACTCTTTACCTAGAAAATGTCTGAGTACTTTTTACCTAGAAAAACCTGAAAAGAGTCAGAACTGACTTGACGGCAGACAGTAATTATGATGTCAACCATTAGCACCTTGACTTTGGCTCGGAAGCATGCAGGTAGACTTAAAATCTGGTCTACCTGTTAACAGCCCATCATTTGGAAAAGTTCCCTTTCTTTGACTACAGTTGCCAGAATCCACTAGCCATGGATCACGCTGACTAGGGGATGATGGGAGTTGTCATCCAAAATGGAAGCCTCCCTGGAGGAAGGGGGTTACGTGGGAATACAGTTGCTTGCTTGCCCTTGGAGAGGCCAAGAACTGGGGGTCCCACAAACCGAATTGACGTCACAGTGAGACAGGGGGAAGGGGACGGGGGTGCCAGCCCCCAGCCCGGAAAAGAGAAGGGGGGGTCTGCGTTGACCCCCCGGCTAGACTCACTTTGTCCGGATGTCCATGTTGTCGTGGCTGGAGTGGCACATTTCGCTGAAGCGGGAAACGAAGAAGTCGTAGCTCCGGTGATACGACGGAGTGTCTTCCTCAATGTTTGCAAACTTCACAAACTGGGGGTGGAGAAATGTGGGGAAGGGGAAAGGGGCCGAGATATTATTGGGGGGGCATCAAATATGGGTTTCACTCTCACATCATCCTCCCACGCCTGCTCACCTGGGGAGCACAAAGCATTTGAAGGCACTTGGCTAAAGATTTGTTTTTTGCGATGGGTTTAGCTTCGCAGAGAGAGCTGGGCCAGGCCCAGAAACGAAGGGCTTAAATCTTCCTGTCTGACTCTCTTGAATTTTTTTTTGGAGACCAAGCGTCTGGTCACCAAGGAGGGAGAACGGCGACTTGGGCCCCATTTGGACCTCGTCCCTTAGGGCTGGACTCACTTTTGTTGCCAGCGGTTTAGACATGAATGGCTGTGGGTTGTGTTTTTTGAGGGGGCAGCACATTTCTACAACTGCTCTAAAAACGGTCTACTCACGGCTTTCCATGGTAGGCAAGTGTCATTTCTTCAGTGTTGTCCCATGAAAAGATAGATTAAAACGTTTATGAAATGTGAGGGGGTGTCCTCTCACCTCTGTGATATACTGTACCTAAATCTCCTCTATGTCTAGGCTAATTAGCCAATCCTCCGGGCTGTCTGATCTCCTGCCTGGCTTGCCATAAAGGTCTGGTCCGGGATTTTGAGGTCTGGATCTCTCCCTTAAGAGCCCTACAGGACTTTATAGACCTTAGAAGCCTGTGATTAGACACAGGGATGAATAGACAAAATGAATCACAATATTCGTAAAATACTGCCAATTCGTGGGACAGTCATCCCTTTGTATTTGTTAGGTCGGAGACTCTGACACATACGAAGGGACGAATATCTACCCATTTTTATTGTCCCTTCGTGCAGGCTGGCTGCAGAATGGAAATCGGGCTTGCCTTTTTCCAGCCTGCTGGCTTGTCAATGTCCTGACCCTCTGCTGTTCGGCAGGACATAAAAGGACAAATCGACGAATATTCGTTGATTCGTCTCTAAAATGTAGCGCTTCGTCGACTTTTGACTAACGATGAATCCTGACGAAGCACCATTTTTTTCCAATCCATTCCCATTTCTACCTGTGATAATCACAGCTGGCATTTATCCCATAAAGGGTTAATTTCACAAGGAAACCAATCAATCACTGACAATCACAACAAAATTCATCGGAGTGTCAAGGTATAAGACTACTTCTACAAGCTTTATGACATTTGTAAGCCGCCCCGAGTAGACGCTGTCTGGGGGCGGGGGCGGGGTAAAAATCTGATAAATAAAATTTTAAAATAATAAATTTATTTGCCTACATTTAGGTGTAGGCACCTGAGTTTCAGGGCCTGGCACAACCGACACAGGCTTTCAAGAACTCTACATTTCAAAGGACAGAGCAATGCCAACTTGGGTTTTTAGATGATCTCTCCAAGGTACCGGATCCCAACCCCAGAATAGGATTAGGACTTTAGACAGCTTCTGTAAAATTCAGATTAAAACCAGAACCGGATATAGATTCCACAAAACAAGATACAGTAGGACCCCATTATCCACAGGATCAGTATCCACTGATTCACTTATCCACGGTCGGAAAATATTAAAAGAAAAAAATCCATTAAAAACTACGGAGACATGTATTACCAGAACTGTTCGCAGTTAGTGGCGAAAACATAGCATTGTCTCTAGTGGCCATTTCTGGTAATACATGTGAATTTTTTTCTGTTTTTCCCCTTTTACCATGATTTGTATATAGCGTTCGCTATTATCCACGATTTTCAGTATCCACAGGGAACTTGGGAACAATCTCCAGTGGATATGCGGGTTCTACTGTAAATCGAAACAGTCTAAAATATACCCTCTTTTGTTCACTGCCATTCACACTTCTTGAAAAACTGCCCTGACAATTGCTTTGTGTTTGGGTGAGAAATGGTTAATACATTTAAAAAAGGAGTCATTTTCTGGGATTTTCACTTTGTGAATGGTAGTGAGCAGAAGAGGGGATCCTGTAGACCATCTCGACTGCTGCCATGGGTGTTGTCAACATTCACGCTATCTTTCGCTACGTCAAGCTTGGCCTCCTTTTTCCTGCTGGCAACGTGGGCACAATATTGTGCCGCTATCTCAAGCCATTTCCTGTTGGGTTGCTTTTTTTAAATCATGGGTACAAAAGCACAACAGACCACATTCATAAACTGGAGATTTTTTTTAAAAAGAATTGATCTATTGGGCTC